TCTTGCAAGCATTATCCGCCATCGAAATTTTGCGCATTCAACATAATCATCGCCATAACATTGTGTACAGCGAAGTGACAGCATTCTACGTGAAACAACAAGTGAACTTACTTGCAGGTGCACGCTGAGCAACAATTCTTTCAAGGCTGTGAAATCGTTGTGAGCCAAATTCTCCGTTTCGACTACACCCCACGGATAGGTGCGTCCACGAACCTGGGTGGTTGTAGACAGCCATGGGGAACCGGGGACGAGGGAGATCAACGAATGATAGATTTAGTAGTGGAACATATTGACAAACCGTCATGAATACACACACAGAAAGAGAGAGGGTAACACAAAGAAAGCACACACGAGTTGCGAATAAAGATGCATGGAGTGAAAAAAACTCAGCCAAGAAAACCTCTGAAAATTCACGCAGAGGAAGGGAAGAGATCAGGATCAAACAAACAGATCACCATCATTGTTTGTAGTTAAAATCAGTACCTGTTTCACTGTGTGGAGGGGGATGAAAACACAGAGCGAGGTTGTTCTCAGTATGGATTGTGGGATATCTAAGGGAGGAGTTTCACCTAGCAGTTTGATGACAAAATTTGTTTCTTGAAAATAGCCATTCGAGTTGGGAGTTGGTTCGAAGGAGACCAACAGATACCCATGAGTGAACCATACAGAATATTCATCGCTGTTAAAAGAGCTCCGTGACTCCAAACAACCAACGGAATCAAAATCATTGAACACGGATGACCAGGAGGATAATGAAAAAGGTTGGAACTACGTGGTAGATCGAGAACAGAATCGAACAGACGAAAATAGGTTTAAAGTGAAAGTACGCACTAATCCTTGGCATTGCAATGTATATTCGATCGTTTATTGGAAATCGCTGGTGACGGTGGCCGAGCAGAGTGAATTAATGTCGCCGGTGTGCTCCGGAATTGCGGATTCACGATTCGAATCTTTAGCGACCCAAGGCTTGAAACCTTATTCGGTTCTCCAATGAGGTCCTAGTTAGTTAGTTAACCAGTTCCCATTATTGAATAAGTTTGTCAGATCATGGGATACATCCGTTTAATCGTTCATCACATTGAAATGTGTGATGATGAAGCGAGAAACCCCTTAGTACCCATGGTCACCTTGAGAACTTCAGGACTAGAGGAGGCAATCAACGGATGGTGAGCAAGTGTTAAATCCATAAGGGGGGAAACCCGAAGACAACAAGTCAGGAAGAGATCTTGAAATTAAGATTAAGCCTTCAATTTTGGGGACCAACCGATTATTTTGCAAGATAACCCCTACTGCATGGAACTTGCTCGTTATTTTTGCTTCTTCTAGCATGATACTGGTCTTCAAGAGGACTGTGCAATTGTATCCAATGGTCCACCACCATGAAAATATGACACGGGTACGGTTCTAACCACCTTCAAAAAACTGATAAGAAACAACTCGTGCTCAGCCTAACCACAAAAGCAACCGGGAAACCTCGTGAGTGCATATGCAGATTTCTGACACGAAATCCTCGCATCACCAGAGCGCTCTCTCTCTATCATTGACTTTACGCGTTTATCCGGGTGATCTGAATCTGCACCGTGTGGGAGCGGAGTTCTAAATGAGTCCCTGTGCAGCCTGAACCATTCTTAAGCAATACACCTATCACAGTTTCCGTTTGTACAACCATTAACCATGCACTTTCGTGCGCCAGATTTGGTTGCTGTCTTTTCGTTGCCCGTTAGGATGAAGCAGTGGGCGAAAGGTAGGAAAGCTGAAAGAAGAACCGAACCGAAAATGGAGAATTTCAGTGAACTAATGTTGCAAAGAAATTGAGAAGATGCACGAACACCACTGTTTACGACAGAGCCATATCACTCACTGTCTCTGATCATCGGTTCCGATCATCCAACAGAACCTGTGTGGCATAGACTTCTGATAAGGGATTTTATACCCTCAAGTCAGGTCTTAGCTTGACTACCCTTGGCTTTATTCCGCTCACTACCTACCTCGGCGAACATCGCTCGTCGTGACAACCTATTTGTGACTTGTGTAACACATGACCCAATCAACGTAATCTATAGATGTCGATCATTTGCTCCAGTGGGTGACCGCGGATACCCAAAACTCTGCCCCTAACCTCAGCGTTGCTCGTCCGGCTGCCCCACCAGACTCATGGAATGCTGCGTAGATAGCGGTATTCAAACACCGACAGTTTAGCTTTGTCCTGTTTTCTCTGTGACCAAGTTTCTGCATCGTATAGCAGAACTGGCCGAACTGCCACAGCATGCATTCAACCTTTCAGACAGCCCGATGTCGCGACGGCACCATAGATGTCTCAAGTGGGCAAATGTCTGCCGAGCTTTCTGTATGCGAACAGACACTTCATCAAGGATGAGTCCCCCGGGTAAGATGTAGCTGCCCAGATAGCAAAATTTGTCTACTTCCTATACTACTTTCTAGTCAGGGTGAGGTTGGGGGCTGAACAAACTCAACCTTGTTTAACCATTTTGCACTCTGAAGGTGAAAAAGACATACCGAACATAGCTACGCTGGCATTCAAGCTATCCAGAAAAGATGGCAACTAACATGGACCCTAACATTGTGTAATAATTGGAGCGAGCTCTCTTTCACACATTGGTTTAGCTAAATATCTATCACTTGCGATTGTTCGAACCGAGGCCCGTTCACCACGAACAATCGCATATCTCTATTCACCTATCATATCCCCGGTCCCTAGACCGTAATCCCTGACCGTGATATGTTGCGACCCACTTTAACCTTTGATTCTTATCCATTTGTCTTACTAGTAAGCTTGATTTTATTCGGATTGGGCCCCTATGTCCCATGCATCTACAAATGTGGGATCTAACGCTAGTTAATTACTCGCTTGTGCTCTTGACGGACCGGCGAATTCTCTTTCATCCTTAATTGGAATCGTTCGTTTCGCCGGTTCAGGCGTATTCCTAAGGAAACGCCATGTGGGGGTGTCTTGGTCATGACATTGTAACCGCTTCTATTCTAAGTACCGCATTATTATTCGTTTTTGTTCGGAGTTGAATAAACTTCGAGGAGATGCGGATTTAGCTTCTGGAGTTGCGCGTAACTCAATGTTAATCAGTCAACAACCGCAACAACATCAAATAGATCCTGGCATCCAGAAACAAAGTAGGGACTTACATTTGAAATAGCGAATGTCTTCTGTCAGGCAAATAGCATGGGACGCCCCCCGATGGAAACAGAATTAAACTGGTCCAGGAGAGGTTCTCTCTCTCACACACGATCACACTCATACACACACAGAGCCCGTAAGCATAGGTACACATATAGAAATTGCACAAAAGACCCAAAGGTCACATTCATAATTGATTGTACCGCCTAACGAACCTCTGGTGCTGTGATGCCGTTCAGGATGGTAGTATCAGTTGTGAGGAGGATTAATGAAGACGGTAACATAATGCGTGCATACAAACTCATGCAATCTGACCATAGTTAGTGATAGTGGATTGCGAAGGAGAACGAGGACGGGACGGGAACAGAGATAAGCCAAATGACTCACTTTAGCTTTTCCTGAGGTAAAGGAATGCAACTGAATGCAACCAAGAAAGGGCACATCATATAAAGGCACAAAGATGTAACGGATGAACAAGATGTATGGAGTGGGCAAAGATGACCTTATTATTGTTATTATTACATGCTCTCTACGGAGACATATATGTGGGAATTTTCGGCATCGGGACAAGAGTGTAATTTTCTTTCGACCGTTTTGTTGGCATCATTCAACCCAGACAACTAAATCACTGGTCGAGAGAGTGGAAGGTGATAGGATGCTAGTCGATATGAAAAACAGAGTTTCCAGAAAAGAATACCTAAAACGTTCCCCTGAAACTCAATCACCAAAAGGTAGCTGTTATCATGTTACTCTAGATCTCCTACGGGTGGCAAATCGTATGGAACCTCAGTAGAAAACACGCGACTGTGTTCTATTAGTGGCCTAATGACCGCTCTTGATATAGTGTGCGGATTGTTTTTCTTCAAGTCCTAAAAATGAAAGCATCCTAGTGAGTGCGAGTTCGACTTTTTGAACTGTCACGACGCTACGAATAGTCTTTGTTGCATAATGAGCCAATTTATGCATAACGTGAACATTCAGTTATCTTTCAGTTCTGCGGAAAATTAAGCGGGGTAAAACGAAGTAGGATTGGAGTAGAAGTGCAGGTTAAGATGGATACTGGTGACTTAAACTGGAATCCCTTATATGGACGAACAGGACGCACCGGATGACAAACTTGATAAAGGAGCATTTCACTTTTTTGTAGTAGTCACCGGATGAATGAAAACTGAAACAATGATGAAATTCGGTTGTGCGCTCTGATTGGAATTCCGCTGCGTACGCCCACAAAACAGTTCGACCTAACAACAACATCCATTCTATTGATTTCGGTTCTCTTGACAGTGTGCCAAATTCGATTGAATAGCATTCATTGTCTTCCAAACATGTCTTGTCTCCATAAACATTAGGAGCATTGAGCAGGTCTACTAGGACACCAGTTGGTTAGTCATTTCGAAACGCTGAGACCTAATTCGCCGTATTCCATGAACACATAATAACTGTGGCATTGACCATTTCTGCCCTACATCAGACAGATTTGTTCTGACTTCATTAGTTAGACTGTGATAATCACCAACTTCGCCACTTTTGGCACAGTCAAATATGGACTTCATCTCAAATTAGAAAGTTCGTTTTGAAAACTGCTTACTCGTGGAGTTTCCGGCACGAATGACTCGATTCTCTGGGCAATGGGAGATGAGAAATGCTACGCATATTGTCGCGTATGAGGGATACCATACGGTTCCTCTGTTCCATATGGATGTTCATGACATGTGAAATGTTCTACAATCCAATGATGCGTTGAGCTTGACCTCGGGGGACCCGTTTTTGGGTGCACAAACAAAGTGAGCTGGTAGAGAGTTTCAAGTAGTTCACACTCTGGAGTCGAAGGAACTACGCCAGCATTACAATCGGCATTTTAGGAACACTAATCTAAATGGATGTTCACTGATGTGGATGTCGGGCGACAACGTAAGCGGCAGAAGACACGGATGGTCGTCGGCGGGAGGTAGTATTTGATACACCGAGATTAAATCTCCTCGAATTCGGCTAAAGAGAGTGCAGGAGCATAGCCCCATTGGCCGCAACCTTTTCACTTAGGTATTAGAATGCGGTATCTTGACCATCTTGATGACTTTTGCGAAATCTTGCAATATAGTACCAAGTGGAATCCTCAGTACCACTCGATCGTTCCCTTCGGAAATGTATCGCTAGCCGTTGTACAGTGAAGTGCACTACCTACGGAGCAATCGATGTCACAATGCTTTTCGTAGACATTTGCGGCTGTTTGTAAAGGGGGGATAGCTAACTAGGCGAACCCAACTACGTCCCCAGACATTGTCGCTTACTGTACGCTAGCGCTGATTCAATGGTGCGAGGTCTAAAGAATCCGTTAGCCAATCGTACGAGCCCCACGGAGACAACCGGTGTCGCCCGGATCGATAGAAAGTGGATTTCTAATGACCCTTAGTCCCATGTACCCAAGCGATCAAGTAAAACTCTACTGAAAAGGTGCCCATAAGGACATGCATAGCTTCCCTCGCAAATAGTCATCGGGTGGCTGTACACAAAAGCTCTTCCAACAATCAACGTTGTCGAAAGTTCTAAATAAGTATGGCTCAAGCTACAGAGAGGAGAGTAAGCCATCGCGTACTACGGGGTAGCATTACCACGATAGACAGAACGATTTTTGGCAATGCTGGAAGTTAAACTCCTATATCGAGCTGTCTAGGTCTTCGGACTGAATTGTGAGGGAGCGGGGGCGGGGATGTTTCTGGTCAGAAAGAAAAAAGCGAACAAACGGAGATCACATACAAGTACGTGACACTCACCTTCTTTCCGTCAGCGTGCTCAATCCATCTATCACTGCTCACCACAGCGAACGGTTGCCGTTTGGACCAAGCTTTTACCTCGTTCACTGACTTCTCATCGACCCAACCGCCCAGGGTGGCAATCTCCTCGGGGAAGTCATACACTTTGATTTGATGCTGTTTCAGCTCTGCGCTGACCAGCTGTTTCATTTCTGTGCACTCGTCCGGAGTCATGGAATCTGCCTTGGCAATGACAACGACCAAATTCACCTGAAGACAGGGGCGGGCAGTAGGGAGGAGGCAGGAAAAGATGAGCAGAGAGAGCAACCGGTTTGACCACTTGAGAATGCTGGATAAATTGTAGATTACTCAGGTCAAAACGAACAAATTGCTTTGTGCAATCACTTTGCATCAAACCACGAAACATTTAATACAAGTTAACCAAAAAAACAGAAAGCCCACAACAGTACTGTTAGAGTAAGAACCTGC